CAAGATGGTACATTTGCCACTCATGTAATCCCAGGACTCTGGAGGCTGAGGCAGGTAGAGGTTTGCAAGTTCAAGAACAACCAGGACTTTAAAGTGAACCCACAACCAGCCTGAACAGAATAGTAAGACCATGTCTCAAAAAGACAAAAAAAAAAAAAAAAAAAAAAAAAAAAAAAAAAAAAAAAAAGGAAAAGAAACTTGGTTTGGCTTCTCACTTCCAAGAAGTTCTGTGATGGCTTTTAGGACCTATTAGATCACACTGAGAAGTCTCTTGTGTTCAACCTTCTTAATGTATGTTATCAAAAGCTCTTGTTCCTTAAAAGTTACCATTCACAGTGCCCATTATATCAGAGACTTGGCCAAGAGCCCCATTCATCAGTGTTCAGGTGACAATGAGAGGAGAAAATAAAAATAAATAAATAAATTAATTAAAAAAAAAAACAGAGACAAATTGAATAATATACGATGCTTGGCTGGAAAGTCAGTGTCTCTGGATGGGCCAGTGGTGTGATGCTTTAAGACAGCCACTGTTTATTGGGGGTTATCATGAAACAGAGGGTTAGAAAAGGATTCAAAATTGGTAGAATAAACAGATTCCTAGGACTCAGCAGGCAGGAATAATCTGGTAATGATTCAAGAGTGCTGAGATGATTTTAGGCTAAGAAGGATTTTGCTCTGAAGTGTTTTTTAGACTTAGTGGTTTTAGTTTTAGTCTTAGCAAGTGGAAGAAGAGGGATCATCCCTGCAGAGTTAATGGGAATGGTCAAATGGGTGGTACCTATAATCCCAAGCCTCCATTTTATAATTTAGGGTAGCATGCAAAATAAGCTATGGTGAATTTGTGGTCCCCAACACGTGAAATGGGATCCCGTCTTTCAAGGACATCAACAGTCTCTAAAAGCATCTGGTGTCTACAGAGACTGTGAATTTCACTGTCTCTTTGTATGTCTCTTTTCTCTTTACCATGGCAACTCACTGTACAGGAGTATCAAATGCCAACTATGTCTAGGTTAAGCCAGGTCACAAAGAAGGACCATGCTAGGGATGTGCAGAAAGAATATTGCTAGCACTCATTCCTTGCCGAAGGACTGACACAGTGAAAAATGGCCTTGTACTATCCAGGAAGTCTCCGGGTTAAAAATCAGGCATGGGATGCTATTATCAGAGCTGTGATGGTCATCATAGACAGGGGGCCTTCAGGCTTCAAAAAGACCATTGCTTGTTCCTGGAGCCCTTGAACCCATCCGTCTATGCCTTGAATTTAAACCTTTTGCAGTTACTGAGAATAGCACATTTCTTGATTTGGTGACACGTGTAAGAAAATTGTCCAAATCTTAGACATGATTATCGATTTTGCCACTGCCCACACAACCAGATTGGTCCTGAGAGAGGCATGACAGGAGATTAACAGAAGAGTAGACCTATAATGAAAGGAAAGCTTTGGGGCTGAGGATTTAGCTCAGTGGTGTAAGTGCCTGCCTGGCAAGTTCAAGGTCATGAGTTAGATCCCGTGTACAAAAAAAAAAAAAAAAAAAAAAAAAAAAAAAAAAAAAAAGGAAATATTGGACTGATTAAGGTCTGTTCTCTCTTATTAAGAAGCAGTGACAGCCCAGCACAGTCTGCGTCTTTATTTTTACACAGAAAAGTGGGTGGGGGGAGTGTGTCATAGGATTGAGAGTACAAGGTCTCAGGTTTTGTTGAGAACACTGAAAACAACATTCTCAGGGCTACCTGTGCTCCAGTTAAGATGGAGAAACCAGGAATCTCGAGACCAGACACTTACCTCTGCCTTGCTCTAGTCCCAGCAATCTGTTCACATGGCTCATCTCCTGCACTCTGTGTTCTGCAGACTGGCTTCACACTATACTTGAATGCGGGGTCAACTCTTACACAGCCACACTCCAATGAATTTGTTTTGTATTTATACATTAACTTTGTTTCTGAGGAACAAGCCTTTAAAATTTTATGAGAGATTTGATTTTCTAGGCATATATTAGGCCAGCATATGGAAAAAATCCCTGACAATAAAGATAATGTATACCTGTCTCCATGATTTAGCAAACAAAAATTGAGGATTTGCCTTCAGACACTTGCCTGACCTTAGTGACTTCTAAGGACTACTGCATTAAGAAAACTGACTTTCGGGCCTGGACATAGCTCAACGGTATGGGGCCTGCTGCAAAGCACAAGGTCCTGAGTTTGATTCCTGATACTGGAAAAAAAAAATGTCTGTTAAGAAAACTGACTTTCCCACTTACTATCAAATTGCCTTCTTTGAACATGAAATATATAGCTCCACTTCATGATCATGATAAAGATGACAAGTAATGGGATAAAGATGACATGCCATTCTCTTTCTTTATGTCCCTTCATCTTTATCAGGATCCAGTGCATTAGAAGACCAAGAAGATCAGCAGGGAGCTCCATTTTGAGATGTTTAACTGCAAGATTAGGGTTTAGCATTCATCACAGATTTGCATGGAAGGTTTCCCTTAGGGGAAAATAAGTAAGTCTATTGATAAGGGCAGTGGTGTGAAATCTCTAAGGTGAGATAGAAATAGATAAACCAAGGCCAATCTTTGTCATGAGAAGTGCAAAATAAAATGTTCCTCATTGTAGAACAAGTGAAGACTGTGTAAAATTTGTCTGCATCTGGGAAAGACACATCTGATGGTGAAATATCAAGGCAGGCACATTCTACTGGACCTGCTGCTGTAAGAAGGCAGAGTTCCTGACAATGAAGACTTAAGTGTCTAGTGTCAAACTGCTAGGAAAAGAGCCTTCCTGTTTGTTTGCTGTGCAGGGGTCTAGAAAATGAAGTTCCCAGTTCCACTTGTTTGATGGGCCATGTAACCTAAATACAGCTAATGCTTTGAGCTGGTAGGAAGTTTTGCTGGTATCTCATGTCACCAAGGTTAATTTTTGAAAATTTTAGATGAAGTATTAGAAGTTGCATTTCCCAGAGATGTGAGCTCCCCAAGAGCTCTCTATGACAAGGCTACCAAAAAGGAAAAACATGAGTCTCTTGCATAAAGAAAGCTTATGCCATATTTTAGTGAAAAAAATCAATAAATAATATTATGCCTCAGATAATATTATAAACTTTATGATAATAAATGTAGTGATTGATTGATTGATTGTGTCAACCTGAGACATTTAGAAGCTGAATTAAAAGCGGTTAACAACTCTACACCCAAGGATGTAGAAGACCCACCCTATGGTGGCTCATTACCCATACAGTATAAAAGAGAAGGAGAAAAGATGAATGCATTTCATTCTTTGGAGGAGTCCCGGTCTTTGTCTTTGGTTTGGACATGGTCTCCCAGCTTCCAGTATAGACTCTCGACCTTTCAGGCATAGACTCTTCAACTTTCTGTCATAGATCTTTCAGGCTCCTGTCACAGACCCTTCAGCCTGCTGGTGCAGGCTTGCAAGAGACAGTAGGGCGAACTCTAGGCCTTGGATTGAATCCTTGGATTGAAGCCTCCAACGTGTGGACACCCTCTGCAAGCTTCCTCATCTAACACTGTGGCTAACCATCTTAAGCCAATTTTGTCATTTTTGTATATATTTGTATATCTTGTGTTACATCTGTTTTGTCTTGGAAAACCCTAATATAATAAATTATTATAATTTTGGTGTATTTCCAGCTAAGCATCCACAACCAGTGTCCCTGAATATGAGTCCTCTGAAACTCTCTGTGATGCTGACTATGGCTGCTAGACTAGGGCTCTTTAGTTTACTCTCACACCTCCTGCATTCTGTGTTAGGACTCAACCTCAGTGGAACTTACTTGCCTTGTCCTGTTGGATCCAATTTCAGACACAGAAAGCTCCACATGGAAAGCAGACCTCCTTCATCTGGTTCCATGTACATCTACCCCATAGTATTACCTTCCCTGTCAGTCTACTAACTTCCACAAGCCATGCCTGTGCCTCCCTGCACACACTCAATCTAAAAAATGAAGCTCAGGAAGTATATAGGGCAAAAGAGAGGACATGGAGTGCACACTCTCTTGGGCAGCCATGCAGATGCAGATATGTTCAGTGTGTAAGCACTTGAGCTCTATGAACTCACAAGAGGAAAAAATAGCTTTTCTGAATCCTTCTTGCAAACTGTTATGTGACCTTCAGTGCACAAGTGGAGGTGAGAAGAGTTCTCAGTATGCATGTCTATAAAATTTGGAAACTACTTTTTTATTCTTCACTTGTCATTGAGAATCTTAATATTCATTTGGCCATCTCTTCAGAATATTGTGTATTCTGGTTACTTCAGAAGGAGAGTCGACATTTTGAAGAAAAATCCTGAATCTATGGAAAAAAAGTATATGGCACTACACAATCTTGCACGATTCAACTCAAAGACATTGATTTCCATAAATAGAGAGCAAGAAGCTGACTAGACATGGCTCCCCCGTAATTTGTTAGGAGCATGGATGATGGCACAGGCCCATAATTTAGCACCCTGCGTACCTGAAGCAGAAAGACTTCAAGTTCAGTCTCTACATGAGCATACTAGGAAAACCACAGTTAGGAATGTACCTCCATGTGGGGACTGTAGAATCAATATCCAGTGGCTGGGGTGGGTGAGAGACAAGGAGAGAGAAAGATGGATAAGGAAAGGTGAGAGAGGAAGATAGAGAGAGAGGGACAGTCTGAGAGGGACAGATGATTAGATAGTTAAAGAGAGACAGGGAGAGATGGGGAAGAAAAAAGATAAGGGGAGAAGGGAAGAGGAATGAAGGGGAGTGTAGGAAAGGGAGAAGATGGAGAGAGAAACAGAGGGAAGGATGGAGGGAACAAGAAAGACAGAGGGTGGGGAGAGACAGGAGAGAAAGAGAGCACAAATTTCTAGTTTTTGGTATGAATTTCAGCTGCTGATGCAGTACCAAAATCCACTTTCCCTACATGTCCTTGGGGCAGAGAAGAGATAGAGATTTAGAGTACGAGGAGCCTCCTTGACCCTACTTCCATAATCTTCCAGTGAACTTGAAAGCCTGTTTACATCTGAGAAATAGTTTCTGGAAGAGAGGGCACCATGAGGAGCAGCTGGGACAGCACAGCCTCACACTTCTGCTTCTGGGTGGTTTTTGTCATGGCTTGTATCACTGTGGGAGGGGAATCTTTAAGCTGCTGACAGTAATAAGTTGCAATATCTTCAGCTTCCACAGAACTGATTGTGAGACTGTAAACTGTCCCAGATCCACTGCCACTGAACCTGGATGGGACCCCGGGTACCAAATTGCTTGCAACATAGATCAGGAGTTTAGGAGCTTTCCCTGGTTTCTGCTGATACCAATTTAAACCAGTGTAAATGTCTTCACTGGCTCTGCAAGTGATGGTGACTCTCTCTCCAGGAGATACAGAGAGGGAAGTTGGTGACTGGGTCATCTGGATGTCACATCTGGTATCTGACATTGGGGATAAAACAGAAATACCCATAGGATTATGTCATAAGAATTCTTCCATGAAAACTGGGTTGCCTTGACCACACTGTGCTGAAGAAATTCTCAGTGTTACCTAACCTTACCTGGCAGCCAGAGCAGCAGGAGCCCCAGGAGCTGAGCGGGGAACCGCATGTCCATGCTGTGTGCTGACTGGGACTGAGTCCTGACCAGGTTGTGAGCATCCTGTTAAAAAGTTTTGAAGGCTTGGGCTGTGCCCTGGGGACATGCAAATCAGCAGGGGCTGGGCAGGGCTGGGCACAGCTGTAGGGCTGATTCACCTCAGTACTTCAGCTCAGGCCCAGCGTACCTATATATCCCAGGTCAGACTAGTTTAATGAAAATAGTCCTGCCAATTACATGAGATACAGAAGAGCTTTGAGACTTGAAATATAGAAATGAGTACATGGAATAATGTGTCTCCTTCTTATTTGTAACAATGAAAGATCATCTCCTTCTTTATAAGAGCCACATAGTAAAATCTATGAAATTGAGAGTGTTGTGCATTTTATTACCCCAAAAGATTCTTATTGGCAGGGTCTGGGGATTTAGCTCAGTGGCATAAGCACCTGCCTTACAAGCCGGCGGTTGTGAGTTCAATCCCTGGTACTGATAAAAATGAAAAAAAGACCAAAAAAAAAAAAAAAAGATTCTTATTGGCAAAAAATTTGAAATTCTCTCACAATATATTTGTGAATTTTAATTTATTTTCTTCAAATAAAAATTGATTATGAAAACTATGTTTAATAAATAGATAGATAGCTATACTTTTTTATGATAGCCTTAAGGGATTTTCATGAAGAGCACAGAGTTAGGAAATGTGCTTCAGATGCACAAGGATAACATGGAAATCTCTGGTTAGTGTGTTTCAACCAGTTTTGCTGCCATTCAAAGCAGCAGGGCTCTTTCATAGAAAGAAACAAAATGGGCTGTGTCCTATAACTGATTTGGAGTCTCTAATGTTCTGCATTTTGTGTGTCATTTCGAATGATTTTCCACATTTTATCGTCAGGCAGAGTTGATGTACCTGACCTGATGACTTCACAGAAAACAACTGTACTCTCTGCAGGTCTCTACAAGACACAGTCAGGGCAACATTTCTTTCGGTTTCAGCAGTCAGTGGGGACCTCACTGTGACTTGGAAATGAATATTATTCTATGCCTCTCAGAAAGAGGTCGCTTTCTCCTGTGGATACATCTTACATGTTCAGGGAGCAATATCTTGGACGCTGATGGAATTTGGAATGCATTGTCAACACTTGTCTTCCACCTGTGTCTTTGCCTTGGCCCTCTCAGCCAGGTTAACTGCATGGAAATTAGGAACAGATGTGTCTTTAGCACCCAAGCTCTGTAGCCTAAGTGAACCTTACTGATATGGCTATCACTGTCCCTGGCCAGACTTTTGTTTGACAGCCTGATCACAACCTTATTGTATTTCCATGGCACTGACCCTCAAGGAAACTTGCTAGCAAGCAACACGTGCTTGCACAGGAATCCTTGTCCATGGACCCAGTATAAGTTTATAAATAAATATATGATATTGGAGAGCATTTCTGGTGTGATGTTTTCCAACTCTCCTATATTAATGGATATAAATGGTAAGACAATTCCAGAAGTATGCAATTTTCTTAACCAATTTCATTCTGATTAAATGTGAGTGATTGCTTTTTTCTAGGGCAGAAGATCTGAGAAACTTCTAGCAAGTTCCTTCACATGGTGATATGTACACCAGAAGAAGTAAAACAAGCATCCCTTTGCTAAAACCCCACAAACAACAGGACCCTGTATATCATGATATATCCATCTGTCTTAATATAAGTGAATGAAACTCCCAACCTACTAGATGTCTGGTATGAATTTGAGCTCTCTAAAATCAAAGAATCAGTTTTTAGAACAACAGAGGTTGAGACCAAAATATATTTATAGAAAGAAAGAAAGTTTCTGAGAGAGAGACAAAATGGTTCTTGAGTGGGTTGCCGAATAGTCTACATTATGTAGGGATTTTTATATAGTAAAACCACAAGGTGAGATGGGTCCAAGATGGGACAAACCTGGGAACTCGTAAGGTGGGACAGGACTATGGTTAACCAATAATTTTTTTTGCTTGAGTAAAATTGATTAAATCAGGAACAAAGAGGGAAGCAAGTTACACAGCAAGGATGCATGCTTAAAAGCAGTGACTCTTCCTGTAGGGGTTTGGGTTGATGACTCCTGACTTTCTCAGTGTGATATAGAAGAATTTGGACTTCGGGTCCTTAGGATGTGGGTGTCCTTGCTTTGCTTTTTGACTTGAGATCTGCTCCACAGTGGGAATTGTTTGTCTCCTCCAAGATTGCAAAGTATCTGAACTTCTGCACTGGCTCCTTTGAGGGCCCAGTCCTGTCTGACTTCCTATACTATTTCAGACTAACTCAACTGCCTGTAATACTCTTGCTTTACACACCTGCTTTCTAAACTTTATTCTACTTTAAAGGATGATAATTTGGGGAGCAACTGAAACAGTTTTTGATAGGTTAATAACACCCCAGAGATATCTATGTCATAATATATGGAACCTATAAGAGTTACCTTTTCTGTCAAAAGCAATCTGGCAGATGTGATTAAACCAAGAATTCTCAGATTTGAAAGGATCATGAATTATCTGAGTGAGAGTAGTACTATCATTGTAATTCTTGTCACAGGGAGGACCAAAGTCACAATCAGAGAGGGTGTTTTATGATCCAAATAAACACTGAATGAGGGGAGGACAGGGTAAGGACTGGGCAATGTGTGAGCATCTCTGAATTTGAAAGGCAGATTCTTTACCATCCAGCTGCACTAGTACAGCCTTCTCCGCTCCTCGATTTCTTCTCAGCATTAATTCTGACCTGGAGAGCTATGAAATAAGTGTTACATGTTACTAAAAAATGGCAGTGAAAGGATGTTTTGCAGGAATACAGAAAACTGACACTGGTAATTTATTTCATTTCTCACTGTGGTCCTGTTCACTCTTCCCTGGAACCTCTCCACAATGTTATTTTTTGGTGTTGGTTTTTTACAAGAGACACAGAATAATGTACTAACAGAAGAGCTAGGATGGAGCATTTTCTTTTCTATGTAGTCTCAGATGACTCAATGTCAGAACAAAAGTCACTGAGAATTTGTTCAAGATCAAGCCCAAAAAGACTTGTGTCTCATTAGCCCAGGTCTGTGGTGTGGAGATGCCACACTCTGTGAGGGAGCAGTGCATGTACAACACACAGCTGATTGGTTCTTTTTCAGTGTCTTTATCCCCCATCCTCTGTACTCTCTGCAACCCTTGTTTTCTTTCAGATTTGGAGACATTCTATTTTCATCACTTTTTCCCTTTAATTCCATTTTCCTCTTTCCTTTTTCTGCTCCTCTTCTCCACCCCTCTTTCTCATTTTGCCAGATATTCACAAATGATCTCCCTGGTTCCCATGTGGGTTTTTTTCCATATAAGAGCAATCATGTCATATTTAAGCTTGTGTGCCTCACATATTGCACTTAATGGCTTTTAGAAAGCTCCTACTTTCTGTGTCTCCTCAAGCTTTTCCTTGATGCCTACGAAGAAAGAGTGATCGCCCTGCTGTGTTTTCCCATAGAAAAGAAACCCCAACTGTTACAATGGTTCATATTCTTTAGGAAGTTATCAGAACAGAAAAATGAAAACAATGACCTATGTCTGCCATCTGAGGATATGTTGTGATACATAATTCAGCATATTTTTCATTTACGCAATAGCCATGGTCCTGAAAAACTTTCTAAGAACAAATAGAAATGATAAATATTTTTAGATATCCTAACTTAATGAGATAGTAAGATGACTTAATAAAATTATATTCACCTTAGATATGAACAAAAATTTTTTCTCCAAATGTTATCTACAAATACTCATTGACTCCATGAAAGATTAAAATTTGTTGGTCTTAGAGAAATGCAAACACAAAACTATATAAAATCTATGAAAACATATTTTTTAATCTAACCATAAGTACTATGTTATAAAAGATAATGATAATTGTCCACTAAGATGTAAAGAAATAAAATCTTGTGTAGTTCTAGAGCAAAAGTGAAATTTTTGTGATAGAGAATGTTGATCATCAACTTGGTTGGATTAAGACAAACCTAAGAATAAGAGAAACACACTTTTCGTTCTGTATGTGAGGACAATTGCAGACATGGCAGGCACAAGTGACAACACACTGAATGTTGGTTGCACTGTATAGTAGAGTGATGGGAAATGAAGGGAATAAAAACAAAATGTCTGTCATTTAGTCTGTCTCTGTCTGTCTGGATTTCTCTGTCTCTCTAATTGACTTTGTAGGTATCTTTTGCTTAACATCCTTCCCTTCTTCTTCGTTGTTTGCTTGATGTGAGGAGCTTTTCTATGCCACACTGTTCTACCACAGCATTTCTACCTCACTCCCATCCTAAGGAAAATTAAGCCAGTGACCATGGACTGACACTTCTGAAATCATGAGCCAAACCAGTTCTTCTGGCATTATTTTGCTTTCTCAGGTTTGCTCTCACCCACATGAAAATTTAACTGATAGAAAATTAATATCAAGAAATGAGGTCATTGCATTAATTGCGTTTGATGATAGGGTTCAGAATTTTGCAGAACTGCTTTTCATTAGGACTGTGAAGAATTCTGGGGAGTCAGGCTAGAAAAGTTCTGCAATTCTGTGAGTGGAGATGAAGTTTTGTCATGAGCTCAGCAGACCGAAGATTTGTAGAAATATGAAGAACAAAAACTATTATTACAAAGCTTTAAATGTGAATGACGACACCTCTGGGAATTAGACTAGAGGCCATTCTTACTACTTTGTGGTAAGTCACCTAACTATGCTTTGCCTGTGACCTGAGTCTTTGAGTATGGTTCTCATATCTATCATTTGCTGAATCCAACATCTTGGAACATTGCTTGGGATGGTGGTTAGAGAATTAAGGAAGATTGCCTCCAGTGCTATTATTTACAACCTCACCTATATTATTCTTGATTATTCCTTTTTTTCTTCTTCTTTTTTTTGTGCTAGAAATGAAGAAAGTTGCATAAGAAGGGGGTGTGGCCTTGGGAACTGATCTCTGCTTGAAGCAGGATCACTGGCACAGCTGGGCAGTGTATGGTTGGCTCTACCCTACCAAGTATGTCAGAAACAGTGTGGCAGGAG